GGGCCGGGAGGGGGGGGGGAACAGCCGGGGGGTGATAGCAGACGGAATAGGGAGGGGCTCGCCAATAGGGACGAGTCCGCTGAGGGCAACTGGAATGAAAGCTCACTCCAGATTTGTGCTTAGAATAAGCTCCCTCAAGGGTTGGATGAAGAGGTGAAGGACCGTGTCAATTTCCTGCGGCGCGACTTTCCTATTTCTTCTCAATTCCTTTTTATCACCACTCACCGTAGAGGTAGTTGGTCCTTCTGCCACTGCTCCATCCGCTGTTAGTCCTTCTGTAGTCGCTCCTTCTGCCACTACTTCCTCCGCTGTTGCTCCTTCTGTTGTTCCCTGTTCTGTTGCTTCCGGCTCGATCACATAGTTGGCAGAGAGGATCACTGCACTTACCTTTTGTAGATAGTCCGCGAAGATGTGATCCAGCTTCTCCACATCGTCGAAGCCTTGTTTCACAGACAAATCGAGAGTCTCTGTGAGAGCCAGACGCAGCCACTGTGACATGCAAGTTGAGTTGGGAATCCGGTCGGGAGTTGTTTTCGGAGGGGTCGTCGAGGAGGAGACGACCTCCCCAGTAGGCACCGCTCTGGCGCTCTCGTCTGACCGGGCGCGGTCCTGGTCGTCCTTGTCGCCACTACCTTTATCGCTGACATTGTTGGCGGTGCTCCCGGCGACGCCGTTTATGTTGGCGGCACGGAGACTAGACCGTTTCCCGGTCGCGTTGGAAGAGTCGTCTCTAAGCAAGCCCACCCAGGTTCTGATCGAGTCGGAAAACTTTGGGGTTGGGTCGTCATGGTTCGTTCTCTCCATCAGGACGTGCATGATGCTAGGCCCAAGAGACCTGTACAGATGCAAGAGCTCTCGACAACCCAACAGCGCTCCTTCCACAACACCTCGTTTCGACGAGACGGAGCGCACCGCAGCTATCAAACGCGCCTCAACGGACTCCATAATATCGTTTGCCAACAACGACAGAACCGAAGTATCCAGAACCGAATCAATCTTATCCAGAGCGACTACCGCGCCATTTACCACTGGAATATGCAGATCATGGCCAATAACGGGATCAGTAATGAATTCGAGCATGTCGTCCAATGATCGGACCACTATCGTCGACTTGTTAGCAGGGTTGCCATCAGCGTGTTCCGCGGGTACTTTTAAAGGTAAACCATCTAAGGAACCAGACTTATCTGCCAAATTCTGAACCAGATACGTCTCTTGTCGCTGCCGCCTGACAAACAGTTCCAAAATTCGGGAAGTCAGCTTGTTTTGGACATCTAACTGCAATCCCGCCACGGGATGCAGTATTGGATGGAGCCCTGAAGAACGCGGGGTTGGGTCTGAAGGAATAGCACACGCGTGTGCGGACCTAGATTCCAGGGCGTCGATTGGCGTCCGAGACGAGATGGTGGCGCCAGCAACCTTTATAAGTTGGTGTAATTTGTTGACTAGATTTTTGAGGGTAGAGATGTCGACAATAGGCAATATAAACGACCGTAGTGTATCGTACACCTCACTTGAGAGGATCTGAATCAATTTTTCGGCAGGTGTAAGTCTTGACTGTACGAAATAAAATCCAAAGGTATCGATTTCATCTTGGGCAAAGTCAATCCAATATTGGCAAGCCAGTATAACCTGCGTGTCTACGTTAACCTGGTAAGGGACCTCATGAGTTTGGTTGGACTTTGCGCGGTCAGGTGAGACGTGTATTGCTTTTTGAAAGACGAATTGTAGTTCTCTTTTGAGGGGGTTGGAAATCCATTTAATTCGTAGCATAAGATAAGAATTGAACACTTTATTAAGAGCGCTTTTATATTCCTGGCTAGCATTAGAAGACCTGAGAATCCTTTCGTTCATCATGTGGGTGACAGGTTGTATTGATTTGCTTCCCATAACCCTGGATCTGACATGGACGAATTTATAGGGTAGAAAAGTTACAGCCTTTATTACATTCTCTGAGTCCCTAAAGCTTCGATTAACGACAGCTTGTGCCTCCATTTGGGCTTCGGAGACTTTTTTGTCCAGTTTTTGAAGTATGGTGGTCAGTGTCCGGTTGCTGGTCTCAACTAGAATGCGTAGTCCCGTTCTACGCCCTTCAATGTACCGTTCGACGTAATTTGCGGCCTCTGGGTGAAGTTCCGGATGTAATTCCGGATGCAGTTCTCCGTTAGGAAGCATACCACCGCTCCTTTGTCTCAATTGCGCTACGACGAGATCTATTTTACTGAATACATTCAGCACTTCGTGAATCCCATTGGTCTTGACCAATTCCACAAATTTGATCGAATCGTTCTCTGCCAAAGCCATGAAAACCTCAGTACTAGCCAAATCATATACCCATAACAATGAACGTAACTGACTCAACATGTTCAGACGACTACGAAGATCCCCATCAATCTCACGAGCTAAACGATTCGCACGATCCACCGCACTCTCCAGATAACGACACGTCTCTAGCACACCTACTACCTCAGACTCCAACTCATTCAACGCACATCGAACCTCCCGAACACGCTCCTCCCGATATAACAACCAATCCAAACCACGCTCCAACTCCACCACTTCCTCAACATATAACTTCTTATACAAAGCAGAACGACTTAACTCCTATAATCATAATCATACATCTATCACGTAATCATACATCCGTCCACCATATCGTCGTCTTCCACCATATTGTCGTCTTCCACCATATCGTCGTGTTCACCATATCGTCGTGTTCACCATATCGTGTTTGCTTTACAGGACTGCTCAGTATTTCATCTGGCGGTGGGTACTCAAGGTACTCCGAGAATTTTAGCAGAAGTGCCTCTGCCGGGATTTCCATGGCACTGGCCAAGCAAAATCAAAAACCCTTTTGCCCATCATTTGAAGTACCCTTCGTTCGAAATACTCTTCGCTGCGGGTACCCTTCGCAGCCGAAGTACCCTTCCAGCACCAATCGCAACCGCTGGGGGCTTTTGTCTACTCGCCATGGGCTGTCATGTCATCCTTTGGGTCTTCTCATACTTTGGGCCTTCTCAGTAGTACCGTCTATTCGGCTATGATTGGTGCTTTAGCTGATCGGTACGTCTCAATCACTTGGGCTTCCTCATACGACGTGGCTAAGGCCAGAGGACCTTGGGCCCACAATGATTTCTGTGCAGCCATAAAAATCGGGTCATTGAATATCTGACATAAGGACACTGAATCTCGTGACTACCAACCATGTGGAGTACACTTCACGTGTTATACACCATGCGCTGGGGAGTGTGCGGAGTGCGTGTGCAGCACGTCGATAAATTGCCATGTAAGTGCTAGGTAGGTGCATTGGAAGTAGGCAGGGGTACTGGAAGTAGGTAGTGCTGGTGTGAGCGTACGGGAGCTTCTAGTGGTTTTTCTACCGGTCCCCCGGCGGGTCCTCCAGGTGGCGGGGCGAGGCTGGGTAGGGGTTCCGGAGGTGGGGCGCCGCCCGGGGGTGGTCCTCCGCGCCAGCCGTTGCCTGATGGAGGCCCTCCACGGCTGGGAGACTTCTTGCCATGAGGTCGTCGTCGGTTACCGCCGGCACTGGGTTCATTACGCGGGAGATCGGAAGCGACCGCACTTGTCGGCCAACGCTGAGGCTTGGGGGCATATTCGTGCCGAGTGGGGCCATGGTTGCCGGGTGGTACAGGCGGTGCAGGCGCCGACGACGTGTCACTTCCGCGACGGTCCCGTTTAGGGCCGTTCGATGACGAGAAACTACCTCGTCGCTTCTTCGACCGGAGCATCGAGGTGAATTTAATTCCGCCTCTGGGACCCGACTTGGACAAATCCCACCGGGACTTGGAGATTCACGAAAATAGACCCAGACCACACACAAAACTATACCTAAGACTACATCCCAGACATCACGACGGTTAGACCAAGCGCGAACGTGTCAATCCAGTCGGACGCATCGCTCGGTCAACACCAGCTGAAAGGCGAGCACTGCATTCGGCCGACCGATGGAGTTAAAGGAGCCTCAGAAAGAACCAAACCAACTAAGTGGCAAAGGAGTCAATGATTCAATCACTCTGTGCATTGTGAGGCACGGCGAGAGCATCCACAACGTGGCCGAGCGATAGTAAGCAGTACCGGTACGCATAATGGGGGGGGGGGGGGGGGGGGGTGTTTGTCACACGTGTGTTTGTCACATGTGTGTTTGCCACATGTGTGTTGGTCACATGTGTGTTTGTCACATATGTTTGCGTAGTGGTGTGGATACGCGTTCTGATTTGAAGTATTACGACCCCCCTTTAACTGAGAAGGGTTGTCTGGACGTGTCGGAAGAGTTGCGTCCGACTTGCAACTTGACAGGTGTTTTTTCTGTATGGGTTTCACCATTGCGACGGACATTGGAAACGGCGGTGATAGCGTTGCCGGAATTGTCGGAGTTCGTTGTGGTGGAGACTTTGAGGGAGATTGCGGGATTGAAAACTGCGGATGCACGTCGCAGGAAGTCGGAGATAGAAGCCTGGTTGAAGACGAGGTTCCCAGACAAAAGGTTTGATTTGACTCTGGTATCAGGTGAGACGGATCCTTATGAGGGTGGGACGGTACGTGAGACGGCTGCTGACATTATTGAGCGAATTATTGCGTCATTACAATTACTCTTGGAATCCGGACAGAAGAATGTAATCTGGGTTAGTCATTCTGCTTTCCTTTCTTGTCTAATGTCTTATTTGTTTTTGCCTTCCGGTAATCCCGAGGCTCGTTGGCTGCGCAATGGAGAGTGGAGAATAATCGACCTGCCGGTTAAAGCACTCAAACGTCACCTTGAACGCTGGCCTTCGACCATCACTCAGGGAAACAGGACTTGGCAATTCGTTCCTGGCTCACACTGGGGTACTAGAGCACTCTTGGTCGAACCGTTGCCGGCGCCTTTGCTGACCACCGACCTACTAAATTCTCTGAGCGAATTGGTCAACATAGCCACGTTCCCCCCGAAGACCCAGATCTACGCGGTAGAGTCCATTGCGGCCCTCGTCTTCGGCGCACGACTCAGGGAACGGTCCCCTCACAAGCACGTCGTCGTTCTCGGACATCCCTTTCGACCGAAGAACGAACCAGACACCGCAACGACCATCGCCGCAACGACCATCCCCGCAACGACCGTCGCCGCAACGACCATCGCCGTAGTCCCTCAGAATGACTTGCTTGTGCAGTCGTCTCCTGTGCAGTCGTCTCCTGTGCAGTCGTCTCCTGTGCAGTCGTCTCCCTCTCTGGCCCGCACCAGCTCCGGTGCTCTCATCAACGGCGACCCCGTCTTGTTGTCCGCCTGTAATCAAGTTGTAGCGCATTTAAGAACGGACTGCGATATATCCTTGCAAGTGGAGGACCCGCCGGATAAGATCCACGGCGAAGGCCTCCTGGTCCATCACGAGCACAGCCCTCTGGCCAACCGAGTGCCCGAACATGTACTTGGGGAGAAGGCCAAGCCTTGGATATATAAAACTGAAGGATACAGCCGCATTAGTCTCACCTCCGCCAACACAATACACTCTACGAAACTTGGAGTGCAAACGAGGGCCCATCTGCTGGTCATATGTCACCCTTCCAGCCAGCAGGAAACTGGCAAACCAGAAAACGGCGTGCCTTGTCACCAAAGCACACGCGTGTGCGAGCGTGCCCCGTTCTGGTGCACAGCCGGTTATCTCAGATGTCTAGCCCAAGATATATCCCTCTTGCCTGATTCTCTGTGCCCGCTTTCAATAACCATTATCATGCCGTTCTCTTTGTGACGACCCGCTACTACATAAATTCCCTCGCCTTCCATTTCGACGTTTTGAATAATATCCCGTACAACTATACAGTACATGAAAAAAATTCTACATCCAAATCGGTTAACTATAATTTCACATAAACTTTACCACATCATATTTCCCACAACGCCATTGTGTAGTTCATTCCGATTCTGAGTTCAAACCGACAACGCGATTCTGCGATGATTAATTGGGTGATAGTTAGTAGCTTCAATAATAGTTACTTCAATAATAGTAACTTCAATAATAGTAGCTTCAATGAAGGTAATGAACGAATAACACGTATGGACGAATAACACGTATGGACGAATAACACGTATAATCAAATCGCCAACATTTTGCGAAGATATATCCCTCACGTCTGAATGGTTTCAGTGTCAATATGTTTTGAGCCGACATTCAGCGTCATTGCGTTCGTCGTAACAACAAATCAGAGTCAACAAATGGTTAGTTAACGTGGTAGTTTTCTATTGACTGTCAACAGCCACCTGCTTCAATACGGGAGACAGCACCGGAGACAGCTTGATCACAATCGGCTGGACGTTGGCGGCCGCTTCGCACTCACCGGGAACGGTAACAGGGTCACACAGGTATGTGGTCTTCGGTACACATTCAGCTGTGGTGGCACCGCATTCTGGCAACGTTGTGGTGGGAGGAATGCAGTCGCCTGGAGTCGTCGTAGTTTGACCGGCCGTCGATGTAGTCTTGACGCTTGTCACAGTCGTCGGCGCTGTCACGTCAGTACTTGTCGTAGAAGTCGTAGTAGGGTTGGGGGTTGTCTCATTGTCAGTTTCTGGAGAGGTAAAAGTCTCAGTGGTTCCCAGCGTAGTCGTGGAATCGGGGACAGTTGTCTCCTCGTAGGTGACAGGAATAGAGGTAGTAGTGGTCGCAGTTCCGGCAGAGGTAGTAGTTACGACGGTCATAGTGGTGTTGCTTGTAGTAGTTGGGTGAGTTGTGCTGTCAGTCAACGCCGAACTACTTTCAGTCCCCAGCTCACTCCATGATTCATTAGCGGCAGTCTCTGCCGCGGGCTGCAACGTAGTGCTTCGAGTTCCGGTAGTGACACTGCTCGACGTCGAACCGGTGGTCAGCTTGCTAGAGGTCCCCGTCTCAGACGTGGCAGTATCATTCGCGGTCATGGTCGCCGTTCTCGTCCTTGCGGGCTCCGCAGTCACCGACGGCTCTGTGGTCTCGTTAGTGGTGGTCTGACTCGGCACACCAGTGCTGGTAACCGTCTCGGCGTCAGTTTCGGGAGTTGACCCGACAGTGGTCTCAGCGGCGGTCGGCTCAGCGGTGCTGGTTGTCCTAGTGGGTTCCATGGTAGTGCCAGTGGTGGCAGGCAGCGTGGTCGTGGCCTCAGCATTCGTGCCAGTGGAGGGCACAGTAGTGGTTTCACCATTGGTGCCAGTGGTGGGCACTGTAGTGCTGGTATCGACGGGCGCAGTGGTATTGACGGGGTCAGTGGTAACTGCGTGCTCTGTAGTCATCGACGGCCCTGTAGTCTCATAAGCGGTGGTGTGAATCGGCACACCGGTGCTGGTGGCCGTCTCGGCGTCAGTTTCGCCAGTTGACCCAACAAAGGTGGTCTCAGCGGCGGTCGGCTCAGCGGTTCTGGACGTCCTAGTGGGTTCCATGGTGGTGCCAGTGGTGGCCGGCAGTGTGGTAGTGGTCTCGCCATTGGTGGGCACTGTAGTGCCGGTAGTGATGGGTGCGGAAGTAGTCGTATTGACGGGTGCAGAAGTGGTCTCAGAATCGGCGCCAGTGGTGATCGGCGCAGAAGTAGTTGTCTCAGTATTGGTGCCAGTGGTACTGATGGGTGCAGAAGTAGTGGTGTTCATGTTGGATGTAGAAGTAGTGGTGGAGACAGAGGCAGAAGTGGTCTCACCATTGGCGCCAGTGGTGGTGGTGGGTGCAGAAGCAGTGGTCTCGGCATTGGTCGCAGTGATGGGCACAGTAGACGTGGTGTTTGTGGTCGGCTCAGTGGTCGAAGTGGCGGGTAGAGTAGAATTGGTGGTAGAGGTCGGAGCTGCGGTGGTGGTGGTGCAGGGCACTTCGATGAAGTCCAGGACGGTAGTAAGGAGGACGATGTCTAAGTTGCTAGAGTCGCTTTCGATGAATTGTACGAACTCGTCTGGTTGGTCGAGAGCCGCGTTGATTGCTTTCCACTGGGACACGACTGTGTCATCCTCGTTGGGTATGAGAGTAATGAGAGTAATGTTGTGTCTTTGGAGCTCGTTAACGACTGCGTCGACGTCGGGGTATTCATTTTCGAGACAGAGTTTGTCAAAGGCGTCGGCGTCGTATTCATCAAAACCCGAGCTCGGGAAGGAATCCATGTGATCGGGAGGTGGGACGCCGTCAACCTTGGGATATTCAGCGTAGTACCCGTTGTATAAGAGGTAGTCATCAGGGTCGTGGGGGCCGGCGTCAGTGGACAGAATAATCACCTTGTTAGAAATTTCCGCCTCCTCACCGTGCTGTCGCCAGCCGATTTCCTGGTCGTTTGCCAGCTGAATGAGCGCGTGCAAGACAGCCTCGGGGAGGTCGCCACCACCGGACGCCCATAGCTGTTCATAGCTTTCGCTGACGGATGTCGGGTCGTCGGAGAACGTGCTCGTTCTCCTATAACAGAAGTCATCGTCCTCGCCCATTCGGTTGTAAGGCTTATCTCTGAATTCGGTCACAGCAAACCGCGAACCGGGCAATCTTCCTGTCACAGTGTTCACAATGTCAGGCAGCTGCCTCACCACGTTAGGCAAGTCATCATAGAAAGACCCAGTCGTGTCCTGTAGGAACGCCACATCCACTGGCAGGTAACAACTCGTATCCTTCAAATTCTCCAAGCTCAGAAACTTGCTAGCATCGTTACCACCAGTCACACTACGGTTCCTCAACTTCTTCTTCTGACTCTGATCGGACAAACTTGTAACGTTTACAAGCAAACTCTGGATCTCTTCTGCGTTAGATACTACACCATTTTCCAACGCCTCTTTCGCAGCTGCTAATGCGGCCTTAAGAGCTGGAGATTGCTTCGCACGCTGCCGCGTAACCGAGCGAACTAGGCCCTTTGAGGGCAACGGCTCTTGGTACAAATCCAACTTCACCAATGGGTCGGCTACTGGCCCCACAAGTCCTCTAGCCGACGGCTTTGCTTCCGAGTAGGAAGCAGACAATACTGCACACCCAAGTACAAATCCGCGCATTTGATGTATGTGTCGACACAAGTGATATTTCTCAGAGTCCCCTCTTCCTCAAAGCAGGATACTCCCTGTCGCACGTCTCCTCCCACCCGTCCCGTCTCCCAACGGATGGTTGCCAAAACCGCCTCAGCTATACAGCTGCGCACTTAGTCACTTCCAACGACTAGAAATCCCCTCAATAAAACCCTTAAAAAGGGAAGGGTCTTGGATAGGATGAAGCGATACAGACCATGGCCTTGGTATGTACGCACCGGGCCGCCGTCAACCCACACATAGCACTGGGAAGGATGGTGGGAATTTGGGGGAGGAAATCATCAAAGCATTGCAGTGTTGTCATGACAAGCATCCTGCGCAAGCAGAAACCCTCGCTTTAACACAGGAATTGGTCCACGCTAGATAAGACTGAACCACCTACGGCGTGAACCATGTAGGACACGAACCATATGTGGCATGGGGCTTACGGGAGCCATATGGGATGAGTGGGTGCGCAGACGTGTGTGCACGCAAGCGGGTATGTGCGTGGTAGTAAATAGAATCACGGTGGTAGGTCCCACAGCGCCGTAGGCTGACGGTCATAAAAAAATGTCAGGGTGTAGCGTCCGCCAGGTTTGGCGGGGCGACTTGGATGTGGCGATGGAGGACGTCCGGGCGCTTACGGAGAAGTACCCCTACGTGTCCCTGAATGTTCTTTGGGCGGGATTCGTGGCGCGTCCTATATGTTGTCATGAGTATGCGTACGCGTCTGTGAAGGACGCGGTCGACCTTTGCGATCCGCTGCAGATAGGCCTTTCGTTCGCGGACTCGCATGGCCGCAAGCCTAACTATTCGGTTCAGTTCAACCTCTATTTTCCCAGGAACTGCCTCGTCCAGGAGACCATGGACACCCTTATTTCCCAAGGCTACGACGCTGCCAAAGCCGCCTTACACGGGATTGAAGCCAATGACTTCGCAGAAGCAATGCTTACCAGTGAACTAGTGACCAACGAAGACATACGCTGGATTACTTACCATGGCTCATACGACCTCGGATTCGTCTACCGGGTAAACAACACCCCCCCCGGCCACTTTGTTCGGATCCACAATCACGATTATGTGTCCAACGTTATGTGCGCACACGTGTGCGCACGCGTGTGCGCGATTTAAATGTCAACCTTTCGCAGGCATTAACGACTTCTCAGCTGCCGGAAACTCGGGACGAGTATATCCGGAATATTACTGAGTATTTTCCGTACTTGTATGATGTTAAGACAATGTTGTGTTCAAAGTTCGGACATCGCGACCTGCCTGGCGGCTTACGGTCGGCCTGTGACTTCCTCGGCCTAGGGTCCCTACCGATTGTGGTTAACCCAGACGCTTCCTCCCGGGCCGGGATAAATTCCTTGTTGGTTAGCGCTTGTTTCTTCAACGCTCTAGGGCAGTTCTTCGACAACAAAATTGACGACGCGAAATTCAAGGGACAACTCTACGGCGTCTATGATGACGACCCGCTTGACGACGACCTTTCACCTAATGGCAGTATAGGGGTTTCGGCAAAGCTACCCCCAGGGATGCTTAGACTCAAGCCAGGTACATATTCACCCGACGCAAAAAAGGCCACTGGCTGAAATATACCGACTCAAAGCCTACTCACTGCCTGGAGTAGTGAGCAGGTTGAACTCGCTGCCAGCAGGCTCAAAATTGCTGCCGTCTCCCCCATCCATCTCGCCGAGGTGGTTCCCCGAGCAGGTCAATGAAATCGTCTTCGTGAAGCCATCAATCACTGCCCGAAGAGCACTGGATCTGTTGGGAGGAGGGGGGAAGGCGAAGACAGAAGAGGAGGTCTGTCTGGTCCGCTCTCAGCTTCTGCGAACAAACTGTTATGAATGCAAACGTAATCTTACGAGCAAACGTAATCTTACGAGCGAACGTAATCTTACGAGCAAACGTTACGAACAAGTATAGCATAGTTAAGCGGTGTAATAAGCAAAGAGCACCAGTCAATGCACAGCGGTTCGACTTGACCACCGTGCTTCCTGTTATGGACAGTTCGACCAGATGGAAATAAACGGAGCAGCATTAGTGTCAAGTAGCATTAGTGCCAAGTAGCATTAGTGCCAAGTAGCATTAGTGCCAAGTAGTGCGAGCAGCGTACACATAGTCGTGTATTGAGTTACTGGAAAAACATCATCAGTATTTAATGGAGTTTTCGGCTCGCAACCTGGGCTGTTATCCGGCTAGCCAGAGATCGGCCAGATATCTGGTGGACGGTCTGGACTCAGTTAGTCGGTTAGATCTTCGGCTAGGTCTTCGTCGATTTCTTGGGAACTTGTTGGGAGAGTCTCAGGGTATTGCCGGATGGTCTGGGGCTGGGAGTGAGAATGTTGCTGCGCCACAGGGGGCGGGTCTAGAGGGCTGGCGTGGTAGGGCAAGTGTCTGATCTTGGCGATGCTGCGTGAGGGGTTGAGGTCGTGCGGTCTGTACCAATCACTCAGGTCTAAGTCGCGATATTCGAGCATCACATCCTGAGGAGGCACGCCGGGGATCTGAACCGGGGACGTACCAGCATGGGTGCCGAAGTCGTTGAGGGAGTTGTACAGTAGCGAGCAGAGCCCATCAGGCTGGACTGAGGACTTGCCATCAGGTAATACTACGGCTTTGGTGAAACCAGTCTTGGGATCGAAGTTAGCAGCCAGATGATACGGCTTCTCGAAACGCAACTTCATCTTCGCTTCCCATTGCGGGTCACGCGGCAAGTTCTGAACCGCGGGAATCTCGACGTAGGGCAGGCCCCATTCGAAACGCTCAGGCGTGACGTGCTCGCCCACTGGCGCCATGTCGCTCCTTTTCAAAACGGCAAAGTCCAGATGACTTCCAAATCGACGTGCCACTGCAGGCGTCGCCAACACTTCGTCGCGACACAATTTAACACATTGCGCACGCGCCGCAAATGGCGTCTTCAACATCTCTGCCGTGACGGGGACAAAGCGCACTTGACTGGTTGATGTAGGGAGTACTTTCGCACCGGCTTTGGAACCGCTGGACGGAGCCGACTCCTGCGCCAAAGCCAACGAAAAGTCCCCTGACAAGATCTGCTGCGCTGGACTAATCCGACGCCCTCGTATTCCTCCTCTGCCTTCCCCCTCTCTGCCTTTTTCGTCTCTCTCCGCAGCTGCACCGAGAGCCGCAATTTCCGCTATGGATCTGGCTAGAGCCTCCACGCCACGGGCTGCAGCCGCCGGGTTGAGAACCGAAGGGGCGGGTGTTACCCCTTCCCCAGTGACTGGTTCGGGTTCTCGCAGCGCCGCAGTGGAGCGTTGCAGCAGCTCGCTAATCAGCGTGAGGATCAGACGCCCTTGCGGCGGGTTCCCGTCCAGATAAGATTTGAACAGCCGCGCTTCCGTAACCGACAAGTCGGCGGATCGAGTCGCAGCGACCACGGAAAAGAATTCGCGAAGTCGGCCAGTCACGGGATCGCGAACGGTCCGCATGATCTTCGGGTTCCGTACCACCTGGCCGAACCCCTGCACGGATGCTGTATAGATCGGCTCCGGATTAAACACATATTTGTAACTAGCCGAGTCCTGACTATAGCGAGGCGCTCCGTCACCCACCATTCCACCCACTGCACCACCCAACATGTCCCCCACAGCGCCGCCAACCACGCCACCAACCATGCCACTCACCATACCTCCCACGGTCCCGCCTAAAGCGCCCCCCATCGGGTTGTAGTCACGGGTGCCACAAAAACAACGACAGGCAAATAGGTGTCCGGGTATCACATCGCGGGCCAAAGGCTGACGCTGCTCAATCGGCGCCATCCCCATCGTCGGCGCCATCCCCATCGTCATTCCAGCCGGAGCCACAGGCGATGCCATGTTCGCAGGATAAGGCATGACCTGGGCATGTCCAAGAGAAGCAAGCACTAACCAAGGTCGCATAGACGAGCGAGGTGCAATGTGCGAAGGCGACGCGGAGCACAAAAAAATGACCTTCGCAGCGCCACAGGTCCTCGCCCCTTTGGCCACAGGCTTGGCGCGTGGACTTGGTCTCAACTTCCACGGACTTGGTCTCAACTTCCACGGACTTAGTCCCAGATTTGCCGCAGGAGGACCGTCTTAGTCTCGAATTATTTCGAAAGAGTAGGTTCGACTCACAGACCTGGATACCTGCGGAGTCATGTCCCTCCAGGGTCGCTTTTGGGGTGTGGTAGTGCGCGGGGTTGGAATTGAACCGCCCGCCTTGCGAGATGCGGGGGCTCTTATACGCCGTATTCTAACCCCTCCATACACGGATCGAGGAACCCGGCGATCAGCCGAGCCCTTGTGAAAGGGAGGACCGACCGAAGCGGTCAGTCTCTCAAGGCTTCGTGAACTCGAAGTTGACGACTCACTCGACCGGTCGGAAGCGCTCGACGAGTCGGAGGGACTCGAGTCCAGTCTCGGTGTAGGAAACGCAGCTTCAGCACTAGCTACCCGACTCAGTCCGTTTCGGAGTTCGCTGAAGGACCGGCCACTGGGGTTCTTATCACTTTCCGAGTTGCTTATCATCGTTGACAGAGGGCCACCGGCTGACACAGGGCCACCGGCTGACAGAGTGCCACCGGCTGACAGAGGGCCACCGGCTGACAGAGGGCCACCGGCTGACAGAGGGCCACCGGCTGACAGGAGGCCACCTGTCAACAGAAGGCTGTCGGCTGGCAGAAGGCCATCGTACATAGTTCTATGCTTGTCAGGACGCTTGGGCTGCGGGGTACCACTATCGTTGCCGCAACTGGACCGTAGGCAACTGGACCGTAGGCAACTGGACCGTAGGCAAGTGTAAGAGTTGCAGCAAGGGTTGCAGTCGTAGTCTGAAGGACGAGCATGTCCACTAAGTTCGTTAGTATTTCCGTTCTTGTGTGCTGGTGTGTTATTAGGTCTGAGCCCCTCTAGTTTGTAACCATGGGGGCCGTGTGTATTCGCGATCGGGGTCATGGGGTTGTAGGTACATTCAGACTTCGATCCAGAGTGTATCTCATATTCCTTTTTGGGGCTCGAGAGGAATAATAGGCAAGCTGTCAATAAGCAAAACGTAACAATGACTACCAAGTTTCCATGACGATACAATGCTTGGTGCTTTATCAAATCCAGCTCATGTACGTAGTCACTCACCCATCGACAGAACGGGTAGTACCTATCCGTAGCTGGCATGGCCGCGTTTGCTGGTAAGGTGCACACAAGTCTGGAAATAAACGAACGGGTCGAGCCAGGGTTTTCGACCAAAAACGGAGGCAATATGGTGGGAGGTTATTCAACGCTACCTAAACCGAACTAAGTTCCCGCTAGCCAGGCTGGGTAAGTTACGGGGGAACCTTCGGGTGCGGATGTGAACCGCCCTCAGTCAGACAAGTGACCGGTTGCGAATCTGGTGGGTGTAGTGCAGCAAGGATTTTGGCGTGTAGTCCAACTAGTGCTTGATTTTCTTGTTCTTTCTTGACAGCAAAGCATGTTGACAGTTCGTTGCTGCTTTGTGAGACGGCCTTGATTGATATGTTTTGTTCAGCTAGGGCTTGGCACCATGCTGCTAGGGCTCCGACGTAGCCAAGTTGTCCTTTGCCCGTGATGCAGACAAGAGAGCAATCCCTTTCAATGTTGAGTCTGAGTTTGGCTCCACGTGTTACGTCGTACTTGAACGCTCGAAAGAGTTCGCCCACAATACCTCGTTCGTCCCGTGCGTAAATAGCGATGGTTATAGCTGAACTTGTACTCGATTGTGACACGAACAAAGTGTTGTCACCGCGACTGCCGGCCTCCATGGCCGAGAATAATCGCGCCATGAAGTGCGGCACATAGCTCTGATTGTGCACCGTGATCAACGTTATACCACCGAGGGACGTCACCACCTTCCCCAAACTGAAGGGATACGTCACCGGACCGGTTACAAGGCCCCCCCGTCCAGGGTTTTTACGTTCGAGGTTCTCTCGTTCGAGGTTCTCTCGTTCGAGGTTCTCTCGTTCGAGATTCTTTGGTCCAGAAGGGCGGGTGAAACGGACGGCGTCGGTAAAATCAAAGTCACCAATTAAGGTGCCACCGGCCTCAGGATGAAAGGTACTCTTGAGGAGGATAGGGAGTTTGAGATGGGTAGCCGGCAATAGACAGGCGGGATGGAGGACCTTGGCGCCGAAGGAGGCCAGTTCGATAGCTTCTTCGTAGCAAATAGCGTTCAACAACACGGCGTCGTGACAGACCCGTGGGTCCGCGGAAAAGATGCCCTCCACATCACTCCAGATCGTGCAGCCCTGCGCCCGCAACAGCACGGCTAAAGCCACCGCGGACGTGTCGCTACCATTACGCCCCAAGTTTGACGCCACGCCCCCGCGCATTGTGCGACACACAAATCCGGGACACACAAACACCATTCGTAACCGATGGCAGCTCGCACCGTGCCGGTTTCTTGAGATAGGGTTTTGGTCCCCGACTACCGGGTGCGCAACACACCGATGTTCCCATTGCCGCAGGATTTCGGGCACAATCTCGGACTGGAATAGGGAACGGAAATTCTGGTAGCTTAGTTCGAAGTTGATGCCAGGATAGTTGTTCCGTGTGCCGGAGGGCGAGAGGGTGGGCCAGAAGTCCTTGGGTAGCGAGGCAGCCGGGGGGAAGGGCCAGTGTTCGAAAAGCGAGCCGTTCGCCGGTGTGGTATTTGCGGGCGTCGTGGTAGCAGAGGGCGCGGCGGACTCAAGCGCATACAACTCGCCTCCGGCCCCATGGTCTTGAGCACCGTGCTCTTCGAGCCCGGGTTCCCGGGTCCCGAGTCCCAGGGCGCCGCGGTCCTCGACGTCTGAATCGTCGCCGCGGAGACCCGCAGCACCGAGGAGTCCGCCGCCAAGTTTCGGTAGGAAACCCTGCGGCATCACATACCGGCTACGTCGCGGGCGGACAATCGGATGCAACCCCGAGGTCGGCATGTACTGCGCCTCAATGTATTCGTCAGAGACCATACTCACTAACACCGCCCGACTGTCCACCAGATGCGCACTTACCTGCGCCACACATCGTGGCTTGTCCCCGTTCGGCCGGGCCGTCGCAGATCGCAATGCAGACCCCAAAGCCACGTAGAACAATTGCTGACTCCATAACTCTCCAAAACCTAACAGGTAGCTACCTACCGCCGCATTGTGCGTCGCCCCCACACAGTCTAAACAGTGAACCATGTGCACCAGATCCGCCATGAACGATTCTTCAAATGAGGGCGAATTTGCACATGGATCTGCACATGGATCTGCACACGGATCTGCACATGGATCTGCACATGAATTTGTACACGAACCATTCACTGAGGCAGTCGGAACGGTGCCGCCACCGGAGTCGGCACCGTCGGATGCAGACTCGATGAGTGTGCGGTATGTATCCATATGTCTCCGGTATAGTTGCAAAAGATATGGATGCGCGGCAGCCGCGAAGCGCGTGGTCTTGAACGCCTCCACCAAAGCCTCAGGTACCGCGCAGTCGTCCAGCTCGGAACCCGGTGTCTGGGACGTAACGGCGTCAATCGCGTTCTGGATGGTGGAGGTCACTCCACCCATTGCAGAGACGACCACACACAGGTGGTTCCTCGCCCATCTCGGAGCGACGTCTCCGCCGATGAGGGTTTCAACCTGGCTGCCAGGTTGAAACTCGCCACCAGACAGTTTAACTCCAACTCCACTTTCTTGTTGGACAGTAGCTGATCCCAGTTCATCTTCAAGCAAGCAGGAGCTTGGACCAGGATTTGTAGCGTCTAGCCATGTTGAGGTGTCGCTAGCGCGATCGAAATTGTTGGGCACGCGCTGCCCATGTGATGGGGTTTGTGAGCCCAGGGTTGATTGCCTGAGCGGGTCACTATGTCCTCTCCCGCTCCCTTCATCTTTAGTTGCACCCGCATCTTCTGTCTTTAGTCCACTTAAACTTTGTCCTAGACCTTGTCCTAGACCTTGTCCTAGACCAGGCCCCGTGATGTGTTCGTGTGTTAAATGTTCATCCCAAAGTCTGATTTGATCGGAGACGAGGCGGGTGGCTGTTTGGATTTTTGTGGCATCGCCAAGACTCGATCCCCCAAACTTCCAGGTCCACCACATTTTGGGCAAAAAATGGATGACGTGACATTCTTGTCAACTGTCCTCTTTTTCATATGTTCGATCGCTGCAGGCTCTATTATACAATGGGGCGTGAGTAAAATCAGGGTGTACAAGCCCCCCGTCAGCATCCTCTGGTTCTTATTCGGAATCCTGATATGTCTCGTGAGCACACGCACGCACACACAAATACTTCCCCTTTACTCTCACCCCGGTTGTCCTCACCTCCCCCGGTTGTCCTCACCTCCCCCGGTTTTCCTCACGTCCTCCGGTTTTCCTCACGTCCTCCGGTTGTCCTCACCTCCCCCGGTTGTCCTCACCTCCCCCGGTTGTCCTCACCTCCCCCGGTTGTCCTCACCTC